CCCAATCAGACGTTCTGAGCATAATACAATGCATTTTTATGACAGTGATAACCTTCTGTCAAAGATTTAGAGCCCCACACTTTGGGGCTCAATGAGGAATACTCTTGCAAATCTGTAGACATACACTATTTGAAGAACTTAGTATTTTCCTTTTTCTTAAATTATTTAGGACCTGATTAAGTTAGGCTGTGAAAAAGAGGGATCTCAACACCTCATACTTTGATTAACCCATTTACAAATAGAACCAGAGAAAACCGAGCAAGTTCCACGGGTTGATGTGATTACAACGCCAAACAACGTCTCTTTAGACATAAATATATTGTATATTGTTTAAACTCCAAATCACTTTGGTCACTTTTCCTCTACACCCCAACCTAGAAAAAAAAATCACCAGTTTTTCATAGTACTTTACTTCCAATGGGCTAGTTCCCAAGAATAGCTTGGAAAAAAGTAGGAAGTGCCTGAAAATGAAATTATCACAAAGATTTAAGTATTTATGGTAGTAGCTATCACCATATAAAAGGCTTCTCATCTCTTTGCCAATGGCCAATACTGCGAAACAATATACAAGGAAATGGTGGTGATGGTGAGAACCATCAGAGGAAGCCCCATCTATAGAACAGGATGACAAAAATGGAAATGCTCTTCAGATTATTGTGTTAATCAGGCTCCTCAAGCAGGATTCCAGTTTCCCTCCCTGCTGTGAGCTGACCATTCAAGATGCTTAAAGGTCAACAAGTTGTCAATTAAGTTGAAGGTATGGGAGGTAACACTCTCCCCAGGAAGGCAGAAGTTCAACATGGGTTCAAGTCCCAGAGCAAGGCATTTACTTAAACCAATACAAGTAAAGGAATACTGAATTTAGGAGAAAGCTAAAACCTTTAGAAGTACTGTTTTTCAAATACAAGATACCTCTCATGGTTTTCTAAAGATTTAAGTTAAAGATTACAAGCCAACACTTTAATTAAGATACAGAGGTATGATAGGTGCACTCTGTACAATGTTCCTATTTCTTAAAAACATCATTTTTACTACCCAATTCTCTGTAGGCTACTACTCAAAATATAATAGCAGCTGTGCTTATCTTGTCTTAACCATCACTACATTATCAGGCTGGAACTTATTTGTGACAATTATTAAATACACCCTGCGATTCCAAACTTAAGTCTATGAAAACTCTTCTAGGAAGCTGGGAGCATTAACAAAGGCCCAGGTTATGATTTGCCAAAAATTCAGGGGCAGAACACTCTTACACTTCCTTAGGATTTCGGCAGAATCTGGTCTGTGGTTCCTTTCTTCCTATAAGGGAATGAAAGAATGCAAGTGTAAAGTCAAGTAAATTAGAACTATAACTGGCAGATTACTTCTTTCCATGTGCCAGCTCAGCTCCACTGGCTAATGTGGCAGAAGATGCAAGGCAAGACAAGGAGAGAAGGAATGGCTCTGAAGATGCTGCTTCCCCTTCTGTCCCACTAGTTGAGATACAGGTTGCCAAGGCAGAACATTAAGCAATTTTGAAAGAGCTGGGTCAAAATCAGGCATTGCACTTGTAATGGTGGTGGTAGAGGGGAAGGAGGAAGGAGATAAGGACTTTCTGTGTTCCCTTTGAGCCAGCCAGTCATTACTTGGCCTCAACTTAGATCAGTGTCTACATATTGAATATTCTATAGCTATAGCTATTTTGTAAACTAGCACAATACTAACAGTCAGAACAACCTTAAAAGAACAAAAGAAATGTCTTGGAAAGAAAGCTTTTAAAAAGCCTTATATTAAAATCTAGCACATTTTACACAGGTAACATCTATTACAGGAAGTACGTTCCTGAACTCCCTGACAAAATTCACTGTAAGGGATCTAAACCATTTACTTGGATGGCTGTCCATTACCTTGGTGAATATACAACTTTCACATGTCTTAAGAAGAAAATAGGCAGGCAAGGTTCTTTGAGTAGATGTGATATCTTTTATTAGACCAACTGAGTAGTTGGAAAAAAGTTCTTAGCAAGCTTTTGGGTGCAGTCACTCTTTTTAGACCAACACAGCTACAAGCAAAAACCCCTTAAGGAGGAAATAACATTTGAATTTGTAGTTTAATCTTTAAAAGTTTGGTCTTTAAAAATCTGTATCTTAAACTTATAAACATAACTGTCTTGCTTGTACTGATTTATGGTCTTATTTGCCTCTGACATCCACACTAGCTCACACATTACTGCTAGCGTTTATAAATGAACTTGTTATTTTTAAATTTCCTTATCTCCTAAAGTAATATTTAAGTTGAGGCAGAATAAGGTTATTCTGATTTTCCCCCCTAGCTCATTGACCCTATGTTTTTTTTTTTTGCAATGCTGAACATTCTTTTGGTCATAGAATCATAGAGAAGCGGGGCTGGAAGGGACCTCCAGTGGTCCTCTAGTCCAGCATTTCTCAACCTATGGGTCACAATAATATATGAAAGGGTCACGAAAAAAAACTTTAAAAAATGGATTCTCCTTTAAAGGAGAAAAACTTGGGAAACCGTGGCTTCTCCCTTGCAGGCTGTCAGAGTTCCAGCCTGCAAGGGACTGCTTGGGGCCCCCTATCCTCCATTCCCCAGCTCTTGCCCCATACACTGGGGGCTCAGGGGCAGCGGGTCAGGAGTGAGGGACACTGGGCTAGGACTGGCCATCAATGTTTACAAATGGGTCCTGGTACAAAAAAGGTTTGAGAACCACTGATCTAGTCCAACTCCCTGCCTGAGGCAGGATCATCCCTATCCAAAACATCCCATACAACCATAAATCTAAACTTTACATAAGACTCGCCTCAACTCTGACACAACATCAGCCTGTACCTAACCTGCCACAGGTAAAGCAAGTTTTGACAGCATATTTTTATAAACACGTACATTTGTATTTTTGAAGATGATTTAAGAGAGCTTTAGTGCTTTGGATTTAAGTTTAATTCATGACTGCAAAAATGTTCCGAATGGTATTAAGGAAAATTGTAACAAAAGCTCCATTTTAACAAACATAAACAGATGAGATGAGCAACAGCTTCAGTGTTAAAATGTAACTACTGCTTACAAAATAAAATTTCATTTTGTTCACATATGCACACATACATAGCACTTCATACCAAAAGCAGAAGTAAATTTAACTTTGAGAGGTTGTGTTCAAGTACTTGAAATTGTAGCGTAGCACAGTTAGCAAGTTTAAGTTATGCTGATGTCTGTAAGACCTGATCTTAAGTTTCAGCCTCCTGTTTCTTCAGTTTGTCTCCCAAAGAGAGCTCCCTAAAGAGAAAGCATAGGCCTCCCTGACAGTTTAAAAAAAGCAAATAGAAAATCATTTTTGCAGGGGCAAAGGACTTCTAGATTTTGTTTCATAAAGAACAGTAACCTCAGATGCATAAGAAAGAACAAATAAAGAAAGAACACAACAAATAGTCTCTGCAGTACAAAGTGTTAATCACTCAGGATTTCATGCCGTGAAAGGTCTGTTGTGTATTAATCCATATTTTTTTGTTCAGGACTGTAATGAGGGCCATCCATTTGAACATTAATGAGTTTAGTGATATATAATGATTCATTTTTAAAAGCCTAGGGACAGCATATCACTTAGTGATCATGGACCTTCAATGGCAGCTTGACATTTCAGCCCATGTACTGCTGTCCTCTCCGATTCCCATTCCGCTTCAGCCTTGAAATAGCACCTCAGAAAGGGTGATGTTCAAGGGAGCAGGAAGAGAAAATGGGAGCAAATATCAAATGTCAGCTATGAACCTGCCACCTCAATGTGAGAACACACTTATTTCCAAGAGCACACTGATGCAACTGGGTAGTTTCCTGGGTAGCGCTTGATCTAGGGCGTTGGACTACATGACCTCCTGAGATCCCCTCCAACCCTAATTTTCTGATTCCATGATGGGAGGAGCTTCACAAATGTAGGCAGATATAGTGCAGACTTTCTTGGACTAGCCCACGGGTTGGCTAATGGGAGGAGGTTCACAATTGTGGGTAGGGCCCTGCCAGGCGATAAACTCGGGAACAGACCATCCTGAACAGGAACCATGGGGCCGGAGGGGAGAAGTGGTACTACAGGAAGACAGAAGAGGATGGGAAAGAAACGACAGACTATCTGGTGGAGAGGGGCCTGGCATAGACTTTTTCAGGGGCAGGCCCTCTGAGGAGTGCAGTGGGTGGGGGTTCGGGTATGGAACTGGGTGCATGGACGTGTGGTGTGAACTGTGTAACACGTTTTTAGTGTGATTTGACCTGCCAAGTGAACCACAGGGGCCGCTTGGTAGTACTGAAGGTAGATATCTATAGATAGACAGATAGGTGCATGCACACGTGTGTATACACGTCTTGCCCCTGTCAGATGCTGGGCCAATGGGGTCAGTGTCAGCTGAGGAGGGCCTGACTTCTTCCCACTAACAAGTAAGAGAGAGCTGCATGAGTGTGGGCAGGAACACCAAGCCCCCTTCAGCCCACAGCACGACGGCCAGGGCAAAGCGGGGCCTGGGGGCAGCACACATGCTGGATGGGACCGCTAACACATGCGCGGACACAGCCTTTGCACACGACCCCACCGGAGCAGGACCCCCACAACAGCCAGGACGCGGCTCTGCGACACGCGGAGTTCGCGCGCAAGCAGCTGCAGGCCCCGCCCCCATGACGGGTCCCTGACGTCACAGCATCCCCCTTCCAAGCGCCGCAGTAACTCTCGCCCGCCTTTCTGCCCCTCCCCCCCAGCGGCACTGACCTGCCGACGCCGGCCGCTCGGGGCTTCTGGCAACGTCACGCGGGCGCCCCGCGGCCACAACCCCCTGCGCCTCCTCCAGCGCTCCGCCGTTCCACCCCGCCGTCACGTCACAACCAACGCGACGCTCGAGTCTCAGAGCGGAAGCTCCGGGGCCAGGCCAATCAGCGAGGGGCGCGCTCGTGACGTATTACGCGCGCGCCGGTTGCCAGGGGCCGACAAGGAAGCGGCTTGGTCCTGTTCCCCTTTCCCGTCAGGCGAAGCTTGGGCAGCCGGGGGCCTTCTGTGCCGGCGCAGAGGAATAACGTCATCGGCAGCTGGCGCGGGAAAGCTTCAAAGTTGAAAGGGTCCGGCGGCTACTTGGTCCCTCCGTGAGGTGGGCACGCACCTTCCCTTCCCTTGCCCCTATGTTACTGCCTGGGGGCGGGAGGTTGGGTCGGTTGGGGCCGGCTCGGGACGGCTCGCTGGGGCTGGGGCTGGGGCTGGAGCTGGAGCTGGAGCTGGAGCTGGAGCGGAGCCGGCCTCGGGCCCGCGTCCCGTCCCCGCCTGGTTACCTGAACGCAGCGTTGCCACACCTTAAATATGAAAGTACCCGCATGGGAAGCTCAATGATCGTGTTTGTTTGTTGAAAAGCGATCGTACCCTGAGAAATCTGCAAATAAGTATGCCAATAACCCATCTTTTTAAATTTATGTTGCTCACTAATCGCCAGTGCGTGAGTGAGACGTGGGTCAGAGTCGAAGCATTTCTTTATTTCAAGGCAAGCAGGCAAAAGAAAGCACTGATAGCAAACCCAGAAGTCGGCCTCTTGTGGGCTAAGGTGAAGCAGGGGCATCTCTTGGGCCTGCAGGTAGGATGCCTGCCCGTGGATTTGGGAGTGTCTGAAGTCCCAGGATGAAAGCCTGGGACTGCGTCCTGCTTGCTCCGTCGATATGGATTTTGGAATGATTGAGTTCTGCTCAGTAGTATGATGTGGAACTCATCTGGTTGATTTGACCTGGAACATGAAATGTGTTAATAATAATAAAAAAAAGCCAAGCCCCCAAAGTTGGGTACAACCCCCGTTTGACTCAGGGCTGTCACCCCCAACTTTTACAATGTGGCACAGCTGCAGCAGCTCATCGTGGTGGGTGGGTGGGTGGTACAACTACTCAGCGTGCTGCATCATGCCCTGTCCCATGTGGACCAGGCTGACGGTTGTTGCAGTGCCAGGATTGCACAGTACCAACAGGATGGTGGAGTGGGGGGAGTGTTGGAGGAATCTGCACGCTGTCTGGCCCAGCCAGGTCCTGGCTGTGGCGGAGTGGAGTGGTGTGGGGCACAACGCTCCCTCAGGCTTCCAGCAGTAGCTAGCAGCATGGATAGGATCAATTGGCATCTCCCTGGCTCCCTCTCCCCTTTCCTCCCCTCTCCTCCCAGGCCTCAACAGCTCACAAAACTTTACATGTGGCCTTCCAGCTCAAATAATTGCCCGCCTCTGCTTTAAATGATGTGAAAGAGAGGGACTGTTAAACAATCCTTGTAATAAAAGGAGTGATGGGGAAACAGACTTATTTTGATCTTTCGTAACCTGTTAGCATTAGAAGAACTTTGAAGTGGTACTGATCCTTTCAGTTAGTCCCAGTCCAAAAAAAAAAGATGAAAGTTGATTCTTTTTCTTTGGCTTCCCCTTTAATTTCTTTCTTCCTTTGTTGTTGAAAATATTTCAAGGTTGTTTGTGAAAATTAGGTGATGATGTTTTAATATTTAATGATAGAACAAGAACAGCCAATTTGATGTAATTTACAATTTTAGCAGCTGCAGTTATGTTCTTTTAATAGTCAATGAACCAGGGGAAAACAGAGTCTGTATTGGTGCCCCTATTATTCAGCCTGCCTTAAATTTGTTTCCATTGAGTTTGCATGACTGCTTCTATAATTCCCAGTGTTGTTGTTCTAGTTCCATTTTGTTATTAAAGAAGAGGTAAAAAAAAATCTGAAAACTACTCTTCTCTTGAGTAACATCTTTATGTAAATGGCTTTATTTAATGCTGGAAGTCCAGAATCCTCTTCTAGCACTAGCACAAAAATGATGATAAACTGTAGAATCTGCCTTTTCTGTGGGAACTAGTATTTACACAACTGGAAACATGATTTTTCTATACAGCTGAACCAAGACTGATAGCGAAAAATATGGGAAACAGGAGAGCCCTCTGGTGGTAAGGTGTAGAATTTGAGCATTTGAAGATTTTTTTTCTCTTTTTTTTTTTTTTTTTTTTGCTTAATGAAGTAATGAAACCAATTGCACAGTTTGAGACTCATTGCCACGAATCTCTCTCATCTCTAATACCATAAATCAGTTGTATTTGACTAGAAACTGTTCTACAACAATGACATTTATTTTTACAATGTTGAATCAGTGTGGATCCCAGGAACAGAATGACAGATTTTAGCCACAGCATTGCAGAGTCCTAGGGTGTCTGTAGATGCGCAGGGATGCTGCTTCAATGTGCTGTAATTATAGCATTTTGGAGCAGGCTTGATTTAATTGAGCCTGCTGGAGTGTACTAATTGGTTTCACCCATGAACCACAGTTTGGTAACTACTGGTATGGTGCTTCAAAAATTAAAATATAGTATCTGTATTATCCATCTAGCTATATTTTTATTAGGCTGGTTATCATGTAGTTTCCTATAATTTCTACAGCTGTCCAATATTTCTTGGCTTTCCATATTCCTTTTCTTATGTATGATTACTTTTAAATACTTTTTCATTCATTCATATTGATGTCTGTAGAGGCAGCCAGAGATTGCAAGTAGTTTGGGAGCATGTACCAGTACTAGCTATTTCCCTGTGGTCAATTTTCATCATAGTGCCAGTAGCTAATAAAACTGACAATAGTTTCAATGAAAGTCCAACCCTTTGAACATAGACACAGATCATTATATTTTTATAAAATGTTGTTCTTTGTTGACTGGCTAACTGGGGTGGGGGGGTCAGCAGCTTAAATTTTAATGGGCCAACTTGTTACGTGTAAAAACAAAACAAACAAACACAAAAGGATTTTTCAGACAGTGGGCATTCTACATTTTCTGAAAATCATACCTTTTGAGGTAACCTAAGTTCTGATTGCCAGTGTGCATGAAGATTATGTTAATACGATAAAGCTTCTAATTTTCAAAGTGCTTTGTAAAAATTAATGGCTACATTTTCAGAGATATCAACTGAGTTAAAATGAATGGTGCTTTGCACCTCTGTAAATTAGATTATTTGCTGATGTCTTCTAAAAAAGATATTTGTCTCCTAGGTAGTATGAGAGAGTGAATAGTTGCAATGTAGACCTTTGATGAAGCAAAGCCATCCAAAGCAATGACTTGTCAAGAGTTTACTGTAAGTGTTTTTTTAACAATATATAAAATTCAGTTAAATATTTCTTGTGTTTGTGCAACAACCACTATAAATTATCATTTCAGTAATTATCCCAATTTTATTCAAAAGGTCTTATACACTCATCAGAAGACCAAGAAATCAAAAGTATGGCAAGATGGGGTTTTGAAGACCAGCACTGGAGGAAGTAAGGTGAAGAGTTCAAGTTTAATACAGTATGAGATATTCTCTGAGTCTACCAAATCCACTCTGCTCTTTGAAATGCAGTAATTTGATTGTTTAACATTTCACTATGTTTCAATGCAGGCAACCTTATTTGATGACAAAGGACAATGTTTGGAGAGCATATTTGTCAAAACTCAGGTATATTTTTAACATTAAAAACTTTAGTCTTTGTTGGGACCACTATTCATCTTTGCACAGTCTAAAGTTCCCAGTCCTACTATTTTGTCTAATATATTCTGATTTTATCAGTTGTTACAAATACAGGATTTTAAATGGTCAGATGTAGCATATTTTTGATCTAACAAAGTATAAAGCATTATAGTAGCAGATTTTCACTACAGCGGATAACGTCTAATAAATGTGCTTTTTGTGGATAGCAAGTATCATTGTACTGTATAGTGCAGGAGTGGCCAACCTGCAAAACTGGCACAGACAGCCTCTTTGTGTGGCATGCAGGAGATTGGGCAGGAGACAGGAAGTGGCAGATAAGGCAGGCAGCAGAAAGCAGAGCAAATGAGGCAGGGGGTACAAGGCAGGAAGCATAACAGCAGATAAGGCAGGAAAAAGATTGGAAAGATGCTTGGAGCGGGTGCAGGGCTATTTTGTGGCATGCTTTCCAAAAAGGTTGGCCTCCCACTGATACAGCAAGTAATTTTTTATTTATTTATTTATTTTTATTGCATGTGTTTGTGCAATTGCATAAGCATGGGACATTCAATACATGTATACTGATTACTTTCCATCACTCCTTTAAATAAAGTCGATCTAGATGCACCCGTTGATTCTTGGGAGCAGTATCAGCTGTAAGGTAGGTGAGTGGTGCTTTTTAGACACAAGGCACCTCATGGAAAAGGCCAGCTCTTAGCTTTCACTCATTTTTTAACTACGGAAAAATAGTAGACTGGTACTTCCGTTTCAAAGAACTCAGGAAGACCAGAACAGGACAGGATATTTTTGATGCTATGGATTCCTGTTTGAAATCTCTGGGTTTATCTTATGAATCATGTGTAGGTTTTTGCACACCTAACACAAGGTGTGCACCCTGGTTGGGCATCACTGATCTAGACCATTATGTGCTTTAATTTGCGCTGTATGGTCCTTTCTTATACTTAAGCTCCTTCAGGCATGGAACTGTCATTTGGTACGTTTCAGTTATGCAGACTAAAATTGATAGATCTATATAAATAAATAATGATATAAGGAGCTGGGTACCTGAGAACTTTGTTCTTTTTGTAATGCTACTATTTGGTAATGTACACAATCTCTAGCTATTTTAAATTATGTTAATTTAACATATTAATACTAAGTTCTAATTGTTGCTTTCATATTTAGTCTAATCCAGTTGTCTATAAGAGTTATATTTTGAATTAACATTTATTTTTTATGGACGTGTTAATATTTTAAAAGGAAAATTCTCTATGTATTAATATGTTTTGCAAGATGAAGAGAATGTCAGTGTTTCAGGTACCTCAAGCTTTTCTTTTTTTTTCTCTTTTAGGTGAAACCTGGAGATGATTTAGAAGGTGATCGGTATTTGATCACAGTTGAAGCAGAAAAAGCTACTGAAAACAATTGTACCCATCCACCAAAGAAAATAGAAGCTTCTACATCAAACAGAAATGGTGTGAAACTGTCTAGTCTACCTCTGCTACACCGACCTGTTGGCTTGAAACGGAAGTTTACAGTATGTCTTTGTATGTCTTTGTATGTCTTTGTTTCATATGTTATATTTAAAAATAAATATATTTAAAAATCGTATACCATTTAAAACATTACCGGAAAATTAAAAAATTATGCTGTGTAGACCCATGACTTATTAAACTCTTGTTGGATTTGCTGTTATAGCCAAATTTAATTTTAAAGTTTTTATTCATAGTGTCGGCCTCTTGAAGGCTCGAATCAAGTGAAGTACTCCTTCACATAAGCATTATGAAATATAAAATGAATATATATATATATATATATATATTTTATATCTGTAGATTTTAAATGAATAATATTTCATGATGCTTAATTGAAGGAGCACTTTCTTATTACAGTATGAATAAAAAGTCTTAAACTCTTAATGGAAATTTCAGCACATATTTGGGTTAGTGAAAATAAAATAATGCATAGGATGTAGGATAAATTAACATTTGTGTTGCCCAGTACACACCCAAAGTGACTGGTTTTACATGAATCCAAAATTACTTTGAATTTAAGACAGCCCCCCAATTATTAGATTTTTATACAGGGAAAATTATACATTACTTATAATTTTCCACATATAGAATCTGATTATATGTAGATCACTTAAAATTTTTCCCTCCTACATCTGCTGTTTGGAAAGCAGTGGTGGGGAGGCAGGTAGTCTCTCTTATCCCCCACTTGTGCCTGCCCTCCTATCACTTGTCCACCCCTTGGTGCCAGCCCCTTCCTGTTATCTGCTCCTCCCTGTAGCTGTTTCCCCCATGTGATGTCAGCTGGACTAGGAACAGAGCCAACAGTGGTGACAGCTCTAGCTCCAGGTCCTGTTCAGGGCTGGAGGCAGAGCTAGAGCTGCAGCAGCTTCCTTACTGCTGCATGGTTTCTCTGGTGCTCCCTCCCTCCGCTGCTGTGAGCTGGTGGCCAGGCTGGGGTGACTCATTTAGCACCATGACAAGAGGAGTATGGTGGAGACTGCGCAGTTGGGGGTGCTGGAGGGGGTGGAGCTTCAACAACTGCCTGCCCCACCTGTATTTCAATCTAAGACCAGGCTTTTTTTCCTCCCCAAACTTAAGTGGGGAAAAAACTCATCTTGAATTTGAGTAAATACAGTATGTAAACAAAATCAATCACTATTTATTCCTTATGTGTGTGTTTCATCAGTTTCTTGCCACATAATTACACTTGAATGCTTATCTTTGTTTCCCTTTTTTCTCAAAGGGGCTCAAAATATTTCATGATTGGAATAAATATAATCTATGTGCTGCAAAATGTATGGGCCCAACAAGATGGATTTATAGCAGATTTGATACTAAATACACTTATATCCTTCTGCTTTTTCAGGCGTGTGAACCAGAATGATCATGCCACTGAGTGCTACATTTTCATTGTATGGTAGATTTTTGTGTTTAACATCATTATGGTTGGTGGAGCTGGTATTTATAAAAGCCCAGTCAGTTTTCATTAACCATGTGAAATAGTTGTGGGAGGTTTGGTGAGAACATGCAGCATGATATACTGTAGGTTAGTTTTTATCTTTTGAAACATGTTAATAAAAAGGATTAATTTTAAACCTTTCTCTTAGGGCTTCCAAGGGCCACGTCAAGTTGAAAAGAGAATGGCAACAGTGGAAGAGAGTGCATCACCAGCAATCTCTTCATCTAAGTGGTGCCAGTCTCCTTTTCCTTCTAAGTGTTATGCTACCTCTCCTTTATTTTCTGCTATTTGCAAGAAAGAATCAGGAAGCAGTTTGCCTGAAAACTCTAACAGTGTTGTTTGCACAAGTAGTGCTAGAGAAGACATGTTCATCTCCTCTCTGGTTTCCTCTCCATATACTAACAGTCACAAAGAAGATGTACAGAATAGAAACCATTGTAACCCCATTGCAGGTTCTGTACTTATGAAGCAAGAATCTTCAATTACTGGATGTCCAAAAGCAGCCTGTGAGACAGTTGGTGTGGAAGTCTCTCAGAACATCAGGAGCAAAGCGCAAATAATAGCACTTCTGAAATCCAAGCCAACACAACAATGCAGGGAGCAAAAAGCTGAAGACGTACAGGATATTTCTAGATGTCAGCCTTCTGAAAGCAGAGGTATTTTATTTAAACAAAACAGTACATTTGTACCTGAAGGTGTAGACAACACTGACATAGGAAACACTAAAGACACACAGCACCAATATCCTATAGAAATCACTGAGACTAATACAAGCCGATGGGATGTTTATATGCTGCCAAGTTCAGGTGGCCAATCTTATGATGGAGTAGTAATGGAGAAGAAATATGACCAGAAGACAAATGATGCAAGTCTGACTTTACAAGCCCCTTGCCACCCAAAGGCTTTGCAGTTCTTTACAACCTCTGTACGTCCAGCTGGACAAGAGTTAAAGTACAGTTACATGGAACTAATGGATGATGCAGAGCATGATAATGGGAAATGTAAACAAACTTCTGAAGCATCTACAGTCTGTAGAAGTGATGGAGCAGCTAAGCTATTGGCCATTAATGGATGTATTGTCAAAGACCAACCAAGCAGTACTGTATTATCTGAATCCAACATAAATAAAAAGAACAACCTTCAGTTTGCCTCATCTTCAGAGGCTGTTTATTATGCAAGGAATGCAGATGACTTTGTTACCTTTGAAACAAATATTCCCAAATCCAGTCAGACCTCTGAGACTGACAGTGTTAAAGAGCCACAGGGCTTTCTTGCTCAGCCACAAATTAAATCTCAATCAAGAGTAAATTTAGAAAGTGTAGCTGGTGACTCTGGGGTACCTGTGGGTGTAACATGGGCTGGTCCTAAAGCTGTACATAAGGACTTGCCTGAATATGGCAAGGTTAGTGATCTGCCTGAACAGTTTTTGGAGGTTAACTTCAATCTGTTAGAAACTTTTGATTTCAGTAACACTGAAGATAAACAGCTATGTGAAGGAAATGTGCTTTCACAATGTTCACCTTGTTCAACAGAGGGAGCTGTGACACAAAAGGAGATGAGAGTTCATGGGCAGTGTGAAGTAATGACACTCAGTAATCAGGAAAAAGATGTCAAACAATTGACATCTCTGGGAGGGATAGATGAAAACTTTACCCTAGAGTGTCTGCCATTACAGGCTTGTGTTAAGACGTCTGAAGGTTGTGACCGAATTGAGAAAGATGCTGCAGCTCCCTCTCAGATTGAAGTGAGGTGTTCAGATGCTGATACTGTTGTAGAAGACGCAAATAAAAGCACGTTAAATATTGAAACCGCAATCAGCAAGAACCTTGATTTCTACCCATCATGTACCAATAATGACATGTCATTAGTGAATAACAAGCATACTGATCGAGTGCAAAGTGGAGTGAATAATTACGAATGTGATGATAATACCAACAAATTAGAGAAAAATAAAACTGTTTCATATATTCCTTCTGCTTTAAAGACTTCTGCTATTGACAAAAATTGTAAAAAAGATACTATAGAGCTTGGAAGCACAAATTCCCAGGGTAGTTACTTAGAATATTTCAGTGATTCTCCTGGTGGTGATATTAATTCAGAAAGCCCCTCGGTAACCTTCCCTCTAATGGCTGGCTGTTCTGATGGTTCGTGCCATGATGCAGGGAAATACCATGCTGCATTTACTACTCAGATTTTCAAACGTGATACTTTAGCAAAAATCCAGCAGTCTTCAGAGGAAGGGGTGATGGATGAAACTGAATTTGAAAATGTGTCAACCATCATGAATTCCATCCAGGAACCAAGGGAAGATGAAAGAATGAGAACTGACTGCATGAAATACTTGGCTTGTGATGAAAATTCCTCTGGTCTTCCTGATCTACCAAATTACATCAGCCTTCTAAGGTCTTTGACTGAACATAGCACAGCATTAGGAAGCTTACAAAGTATGGAGGAATGTAATAGCTTGGTGTATCAAAGAGAGACTTCTAAATATAAATGTGAGCCCACTGGAAAATTTGAAGGTTAGGTTAACTTCCAAACTTCCATTTTATATTGGATTCTGAATTATTGTTGATGGCTTTCTATATTGATGTTTATCTAGTTCCTATTTTTCCTGTGGGGAAAAAAATGATTTTTATAAAAAGTAGGACATTTTGGCTAACAAATTAATATTTTTAGGAGTTATATGTCATATATATTAAACTTTTCTTCCTATGAGTACCCATGATATCGCTAGATGTTTTCCTGAAACCGCCAAACATAATGCCAGAGTGTTGACATTCACAATTAAAAAAAAAAAATCTGACTGTTAATTGTAACTTATAAACTGATTTTGCCCTACTGAGAACAGCTTGGGTTTTTCAGTGTACTTTAGTTGGTGTCAGATTTAATCCTTAAGAAATAAGAAATGAATTAGGGCTAAGTAGGGTTGACATTTGTTTGACAGAGTCTGGATAAAATATAGCTTTAATAATAAAGACTATAGCTACATACTGTGTTATTGTCTGAGAATTGAGGTAAACTCTTTTTCCTTCTAACACAGTAGAGTATTGGAACAACTGGAGAATAGAAGAACTGAAAAATAGTGAAAAAATAGTAACTTGTTGCGTGAAACTATATATAGAAGAGAAATAATTTATTGTCAATACAAATCATATATGTAACAGTAATTGATTACAGCAAATAGCTTTTGAACGTCTCATTTTTTAAGGCCTTTACTTTTGATCTCAAACAATTGGGGATTGTACCCTCTACCATTTAAATGTCTCTGACAAGCATTTGACTTTTAAACATGGCTATTTTTTTTGTCAAAGCAGACCATTAAAATCATTGAAAAGAAATTGAAACTGATCTTTGATTCTAAGCCAGGTCCAATCTGTGGTTATATCTGTGAATTGGACAGAATTTAGCTCTGATGTATGTTTATGAGGTGGACAGTGTAACATGCCAAGAACAAACTCCAAACATAAGAGTTTTGTAAATATGGTATCCTTTCCTTACTGAAATTTAAAATAAATAGAATTATTTTTCTTCATGCACTTCTCATGATAGTGTATATAAAACAAAGATTAAGAAAACAACCAAAATAATTATAAATAGCTAATTTAATGGAAACTATTTAAAGGAGCTGCTCTTCAAACTATTTCGGTGTTTAAGGCACTAAGCCATTTACGGGACTGGATGAATGGATTCAGTTACTGGAAAACATAACCAGAGAAGCAAATGGTTGAGCCAGCTAAAAAGATTTATCTGTTGCATATTAAATTAAATTAGGGTTCAAATTTTTTAGCTATGATGGTCCAGGAGTGTGTGAGAGAAAAAAATCTTTCCCTTGCATATTAAATTCTTATTTTAGATTTCCCATTCTAGCAGTATGTTTGATAATATGATTGCTCTTTGGTGAACTAGGGATGTTAATTTGGAAAATATTAGCATTGGTATCAGTGGCCTAGCAATCTGAAATGCATTTTAAAAAGAATTAACTTGTAAGTCATAACCTGCCAGCAAAGGAAGAGATTGCTCATATTTACTAATTTAGTGAATATCAAGCTTTCCATGTCAACATCATCTATGAATACTGACCTAGATTAGTTTTAAGTCACTTACAAAGACATTGCTAAGTATAGTTCTAAGAGCCTTTCCATTGTTTCTTTGTTTTATTTAATAAGAGAGGTAGCAATACATCGGTCCGATATTGGATCAGCACCAATATAAGGAAAATTGACTGTAGTGGAAATCAGCCTAATGCGTATAGCCGCAGCGCAGCATGTAAGTGGCAAGGAGCACAGCTTGGCAGGCTGGTAAGTCTGCTGTGGTGGAAGGGGCTAGGGGAGTGAAGGGGAATGGGCAGGGGGGCAGATCGTGGCCCCTGCAGGGAGGGAGGGAGTAGGGCTGGGGCTAGGGCTGGGACAGGCGCTGCTCAGCTGTGGTGGGGCATAGGATGGAGCCGCAGCTCATCCAGGGTGCGGGGCTGGGTGGGAGGGAGAGCGGCTCCCACCGCTGCATACACCATGGGAGGGCATGCAGGGCACGTTCCTCTGGATCTGCTTGGGGTGGGGCTGGCTGTCGCTGCAGGCTGGGCCTCGGGCTGCGCTGGGCTCTTCCCAGCAGGCTTTGAACCAAGCTGTACTTGGGCAGGTGGGTGGCGGCATTGGGGGTGACTACAGCAAATTTTGGGGTGATTTCAGCCCCTTATATTTTCCTTCTCAGTGCCGCCAGCCCACCCGGAGCACAGCCCAGCCCCAGCTGGGAAGAGCCCGCCCCACACAGATCTGGGGGCACACGTACCCCGTGCCTCCCAGGGTGTGCACAGCATCATGAGCTGCACCACTCCAGGATGAGCTGCAGCTGCATCCCATGCCTTGCCCCACCCCAGCTGGGTACCACCTGCCCCAGCCCCACTCCCTTCCTCACCACAGTGACCTTGATATGCCTTCCCCCTCTCCTTCCACCACAACAGACTTACCAGCCGGACGCTGCTCTTTAAGCTGCCAGGCTGCATATTGGAAATCAGATCGGTATAGGCCAATATGCCTTCTTTAAAATCAGCTATTGGTATCGGCCCCAAAAGTCTCTGTTGGTGCACTGCTAGTAGAAACAGATGTGGCCAAATGAAGAGGACCAGCTGTGCTGGGATATATCCACTTCAGTGGATGAAATGCATGTTGTTCTGCAGGATCAGGCCCTTACTGCTCCCTGGAGTGGCCAGGGCTCAGTCATGCAGGGTAACACTCAGGGTGTGTTTCTACAAATGTGGGGGAGGGAACCCATGCAGGTGCTCCAGGGCCTTCAGGGTCCCAATCCTTCCTGCCCTAGGAATGGGAATTCCTGGGACATGCAAGGTTAGGCCCATGAAGCCCTGGGAGAGCTTGTCCTTGGCAGCTGGAGAGTATGGGTACCTCTGTGCTGTCTGTTCTCCTACTTTAAAAGAATCAGGCGTCTGTTTCAAAATAGTGGTATGTCATGCTCACAAATTTTGGCATTTGAGGTGCTACAACGAGCATGGACGTCTTGTTTGCCTGGCCTTTGTGCCTCCATACACATTTATGGTGGCACAGAGGCAACCTCTGTTTACAACCTTAATCTAACAAGATTAACTACCTCTCTCTGTTTAAAATAAGAAAAACTAAATAAGTTCTTTGACATTGGCTTAGTTCAGAAGGCTGGGATCTTTTGGCTAATTTTCTGTCTTTTCCTGATGTGGGACTTTCATTTATGTGCTTTGCTAGCATTACTGAAATTGTTATATGGTCTAATCCTTCAAAGAGTTAGGCTTGTGTTTAACTTTACCTATTTGAGTTATTTTGTTCATTGGGCCAAAAAAATTACTGATTGAGAGTCTGTGGTTACTGAATAGCTTGGGAAACTTTTTTAAACAAATGTTGCTACAATGAAATTGCAGTAGCTCCAAAGGAGTCCTGAAAATGGGCATACGATGACAAAAAATGTATCAACCTCTTCTGTGGTGTCGTGAAAATGTCTTATACTCATATTACTGGCATAAGTGTGTGCAGTAAGTTGTGTACTAAATATTTCATGTAATTTTTTATGTATGTAGCTAATTAAAAAAATGGGCCCAAACACCTACTCTTACTCAAGGGAATAGTTCTGTTGATTTCAAGGGAACAACTACTCACATAAGAGCTGCAAGATCAGTTTCTAGATTATAAGACTTTTTATGTTTTGAATTAAAATCATAACTAAAACTTGTTCTTTTTTCATTCTTTGTAGGTAGGAAACAGTTTGCAGAAGTGTCTTGTTCAGGAGATATGCAAACACCTTGTTTGTACTTTGACTCTTCTAACCTGAGGGTAATTCATTTTCATGTGTGTAATCATACTTTTAAAAAAAGTTTGAAGAATTCTCCTTGAATTCAAATTATGGCTTGTGTTACAGTAGTGGTTGTGTTGGGAGTCATTTAGGAATATTAACCTGAAATATATATTTACATACTTGAACATAAAACATAGCTGACTTGTGGCTCTTGTGTTATGAATGAGGCTAAGAGTATCATAGACTATCATAGAACATAAATAGTAAGAATATTTAGTTACACTATAAAATGAAGGCAAGGATATAAACCTTTAAGTTTAAAAGCCTAAATCTACCACTAAAAAGTTTAGATTTATAAAAAAAAACCAAAAAAAACCAAACCCCAAACATTTCCTTTGAGAGAGTTTTATTCCATAATTGTTTGTTATGGGGTTTCTTACATCTTTCTCTAGCATCTAGTATTGGTATTCTAGGAAATCTTAAAGGGATTAAGCTCTTCTCTTTATCAGTGTTCTAATTGTAATTTTAAATTCTGAATAATTTAAGTGTGAAATATATATTGCATATTTTTTAACCTTGTCAAGAACTTGATACTTGAAAAGCTACTGTTTATTCCGTGGTAAGATTGTACAAGTCTAAGATTTTTAGAATTTTATTTGCAAAGGTGCCATCACTTGTTTCATGGAAACCACTGTATCATTATATTGGTATTGGATAAGCCATATTACATCTTTACAAGTCACTTATCCTTAAACATACAAGAGTAGCTGAAAGACACGTTCTTTTTAGCATTTTTATTGTATGCCTCCTTGTAAGTCTTAAGGACCATTAATATACATGTTTGACAGCGCACTTGAATATTCTCCATGAGGTCAGTTGGACAACCTGTATATTTCATGTTACACATGTGAGGACTAAGGCTGAAGTATGGAACAGCTTCAGTAATGATATAATTGTACTGCTTAAATCATTATCACCTAAGAAAACAATGTGACATTAGTGTTCTGTCATGGCTCCTGTTTTCAGCACACCTTTTACATTTGTAACATTAAAAAGAAAACATTGTTCCATCATTGTGCTGACTGACTGAAGGCTGAAGTGCAGTCCTCATTCATATGCCTGCTTTTGTTGCTTGTCTCGTTTTCTTTCCTGAAGGTAGCTCTTAAGGTTTTAGTTTAGTAGCTGCGGTCCTTTTCTCTGTACTTGGAGGCGCCCAGAACATCTTTGCGTAGTGCAAAATAACAGTGCTTACAGTCTCAACTTCTCAAAAAGTTCCCATTTAGCTCAGCGGAAAATTAAAAGGAGTTTTTAGCTTAGTAAGGAATGAAGGATTGGGCCCTAAAAACAAGATATGGTTTGGAAACGGCAATGGGGAAACCAAAAGGAAAAGCAGAGTATTTTATAAAACTTTAAAAAGAGAACAGTCATTGCTCTCATGATTTGCTACAATCATTCTGATTTATATTTTTTATCGTTGTTTACATTGTCCCCCATTTCTTTTTTTCTCATCTTTCTGTCACTTTGTGATGGTCCTTCCTATATCTGAGCAAAGGTATTTCTGATTGAATTTTTGTGGCCAGTACTGGTAGATCTGGATTCCTTCTTGGCATAGTATTATAGCATGATGAAAAAGGGCCAGGCCATAATATGGGACCACTGAAGGCAACAGTCGACCATTACGGTTTCAAAGTGTTCTTAAGATGGTATCATTTGTAGTGGACACGAATCTAACATTAAGTGTCTTCTATTCCAGCCTACTATATTATTTTCACTACTACGGCATGTTGTCTCATTTTCTCTGATGCATGATATTATGATGCACATTTTTTTTCCTGATGCTTTTTCATGTTAGAGCTTTTTTTATTCAGGTCTTTTTTTGTGTAGCTTTTCCTTCATGCTTTAACTTTTCTTTCACTGCTTGCTTGGATACCAGGTCCTTTTAAGAGGTCTAGGACCTGAAATAAGGTTGATTGGCAGGCTGTGTGAGGAATTTTGCAGGGAGCCTGGCTTCATTATACTGATTTTATCCAGTGCTATTAACAGTCTTCACTTTCATCCCCAAAGATACTGTTTATCTCTTTCCTCAAACTGAAAGAGGTGGCTATTTTTTTTTCCAAACGCATTCTTCGATTTCTCCAAGTCACATTTGAGTGGCAGATGTTATTTATGACCTGCTTGTTGGATTTCCGACTTTCAAACAATGAACATGATTAAGAGCATTTGCTAGTATTCTGACACAGAAATTGTTAGAAAAAAAATTAAGAACTATTCCACTTGGATATTGAATTTGGAACTTTCTGCATGGAGAAGGATTTGGTTGCAAGCTGGAACAGGCAACCTGCTAAAATAACTGGTGTACATAAAATAGCTGATTACTCTACCTGATTAACTTGCTTCTTTTTTTGTTGTTGTTGCTTTGTATCCAGCCTTCTTCTGTAGAGGCACCTGTGCTAGAAGCGCCCATTCTACCTGTGATCCAAGGCCAGGGAAACCTTCGGACCTTTGACTACCAACCAAAGGTACAATCTTTTAAGTAATGCCAATTCAGAATAACAGTTTGTTTGGTTTTTTTTTCAAGAAAATGCTAAATTGCATCCTTCACCAAACCAACCAACCAACCACTTTTAGTGCACCCAGCTCTTAATACACCTTTTCTGTATGTAGTTTTCATTGGAGATCACAAAATCATAGCTTAACATTTGAAAGGGACATTTTGTGTTGAATTAGAAATTCGTGTAGTTCACTGGTGTTGAGCTGCATAGACATCGCTGCTTTTTGTCAGTGTTCTTATTCTAAGTTCCAAAAGTTGTCCTTTGTATGTGTAGAAAATGTTTTCTGATAGTAGATTTTTCTTTCATTTAACATTAAATAATAATTGCAATACATTCTGTAGCCAGTTCAGTTTCAAGGTCACCAAATAAAAGGATCAGCAGCCAGTGAGATGATGGTGAGATCTTCTAACTCACTGTTAGGATGGAATCAACATCCAGTAACTTCAGAGCATGAAAGTCTCATAACAGACAGTTGTTTGTCAGCCCAGTTTTCAAGTAGTTCTGTCCTGAGTGACTTCATACAGGTAAAATGAGGTTTGTTCTAGTTGCTTTGTCTTCTGGTAGTACAAGAAAATAATTTGTCCAGATGGTGATGTTAAGGAAAATTAACTATTAATCATAAAATAAAGATTATACCAGAATCACTAGGAACTGAAAAATATGGCAGAGTTTGAGAATAACCATTGTTGAGTAATGATCCTACAAATATTTGCTATGCTCATGAGTAGTGATTTGTAAGTTGAAATTTCTGAATTTATTTTAATACATTTCAAAGATCAGTCTAAAATATGCTTGTAATTATGCAGCATTGAATGAATAAATTCTTCATAAAGGAAAACGATAAAGGGCTTTTTGAGTCATTATTGTATTCTGTTTTCTTTATAAGAGTGACATTTTAAATCTGCCCAGTCCTAATATCCTGAAGTACATGCAAAGTTCCAAATCAGATTTGAAAAAATTATGTTCCGATTTATTCATCTGTTTTTTATATGAGCCAGTATATTGCTGGAATGCTATACTGTGCCTTCATTTTTATAATACAGCATCAATGGCAGTACTGAAGAGGCTAAAGGAAAGCCACTTATTTGGATGGGCTTTTCATTTCCAACACCCATTGAGATTGCAAATATTTCTTTTTTTTTTTTTTTTTGGAAATGAGGTCTTGAAATGAAAATAATGGTGATATGAAAAAGAGTATTCTGTCAGCTTTATGAAATTTTTGTCTTTTTCTGAAGTCCCCAGGCGCAGTGAATTTTCCAGAAGATGATCTAAACTTTATTACAGAAGAGAACATTCAAAAGTCTGACTTTATTGAAGAGCCAGATGCCAGTAAATCTCGTAAGTAAAAGTAAATGTGAAAATAATGATGGTCACTGTGACTAGTCTGTCTGAAAGTTGTCTTTCCTTTTATCCAGCAGTGATATTGGATATGACTTCTAAAGTTCCAAAATGGATGGAATCTTCTTCAGATTTTAATCTGGAACTGACCCAATGGACTACAAGGAAACATAACAAGGTGCGAACAGGCTCCTTATTTTAAGCCTTTCTTCTATAATATTAGTATCTGATTATATTATATTTTGTTAAATGCCTCTTGAAATTTGGTAGAAATGTATTAGATAAGGTGATATAAAATAATAAGAACAGTCATTCTTGAGATTTTTCTTGTCTTCACTACTCAGCTGTACATATTTTTTTTCTGTGTGTGTAGGTGCTGTCACAACAGTTCTCTTCATTAAATCCAGATTCTATTTCCTTAACTTTAAATAACGAAGAAAATATGATAGATATCCCTAAACAGGAGTCCCTGACATGTGGAGCTTTACTAAGTGATACAGAACATTCGGAATTCTTTTCCAGTAAGAAATTATATTTTATAATTGCAGTTAATTCTGCTTTCTCCAACAGAGCCTTGATGTCTTTGATCCAGACCCCCAATGCCCATTGGATACATCAGCTATACCTGAGCCCTAATCCTATGGTGTTCAGTGTATGTACTGGCAAATACCCCTTCTTCAGAGCCTCTTTGTTTCAGCTTTTAAATGCATGTTATTTATCCATAACATTTAAGCACTGATTAGCTAAAAGACCTTGCTAGTGTGAACAGATTTGTTAAACAAGGATTGTACTCTTTCCCCTTAAGCTTTACACCAAATCAAAAGCTGGAATCTAACATCTCACTCTTAGTAATTTTTTATTTGTTGTCTTTTAATTTTTCTCCATCTTCTGATACTTTTGAATCTATTTTGAGTAACTTGTGTTGCATCTGGCTATAGTTTCTTCTTTATGCTGAATTTAAACAAAATGGGGACTTGTAATGTCAGAAACCTGGTATTGATAAAGGTTGATAATATTTTATTTTATATTTGTATTATTTTATATTGGGTTTTTTTATTGCCCCCGGCACAAATGAGGTCTGTATTTTTTATCGAAAACTTATTGTTGATATAATGATTCATTTCCAATATTTATAAAGAGTTTAATTACTAGAGCACTAGTTTACTGAGACTTTTTTTATAAAAATGTATATTTTTTACTTCAGTATAGAAAATTGGATTTGAACATAGACATTTAAATTGTGGAATAATTATATTTGAAATTACTTATTAGGTGGTAAGATTTAGCTTGGTAATGCACAGGATAAGTGAGTACAAAGAGCTTGCTATTACAAGAGAGGTCAAGATTCACAAGAAAGTATTTGAATTTTTTTCTTTAACTTTTTTCTCTGTCTTGAAGACTAAGATTTGCATCTCAGGGACAGGTGCAATAGGTTGCTAAATACATATTTGTCCTGCAGGAATAGAGCAGTCCAGCTGTCCAGGAGATGGCAACCTGTCAAGACCCTCCTCCACACTGAGAACAAGAATTCCACTTGTCACTGTTTCTGCCACTGGGAAGATTCCTGATTCAGAAGTTTATTCAGGTGTGACTGGCTGTGAGGAAGTCCAGCAAGCTTTTGGTTCTCCAGCAGTCAACGTGTATGAGAAATCAGCAGTGTTTCACGTCAGTGCTTTTGGGCCTGAGGACAGGAAGTATGAAACCTTTGTGTCTGGCGAGTGTATGGAAGGAAGACGAGAGGCATTTATGCAACCAGTGTTCCCTAATGTGGCTTCACAAAATGGACAAAGCAAGTGGCTAAAATATCAAAACACAGCTCAATGTGATTTGATAACTCAAAACAGAGGTGATGTGAAAGTGACTGATGACTTCTGTGCTGAGAATGTCATTGGAATGCCACCGACTGACACTGGAGAGAGTCAGAGTGATGCCTTGAATAAAAGTTCTTCAGACTCTGTGCATTTGCAGATGATAAAAAGCTTACTGAGTAAACACCATGGAAATTTTAGTAGCCAAGATTCTGTTTCAGAGGGGAAGAAACTTTCTCTGCACTTAAACCACATTCCAGTTCCTGAAGCAACACAAAAGGTGTTAGGTCAGTTGAACTGCCACACTGTAACAGGAGACACCCAGGTGTGTAGCTATTCAAGCAGACTGTGTATACTTAGTACGTTTGCCCCATTGGCCCTGAATGTCTGAATGTCCTATCAGGAACAGATCTAGTCAAGGGCAGCATCCTTTGCAAAATGGTCCTGAAAATTCACCATTCTTGACAGTTTGATCTCTTGCTCAGATCATGCTGATGAAAAGACCAATAATATGTTTAAAAACTGTCATGGTATAGAAATTTTCATGGGTAATGGGCGATATATTTATTTGTGATGGAAAATCATTTTACTGGGCACCTTCGCTGTATGTGTATGATCTTCTGGGGAATATTATGTATATAAATGCTAAGCAATAATTCTATATGCTTATTAGCAGAAAAAATACCCAACTACAGAACCGGGCCTGTCACATAATGACAGCTTATAGTGCAATTTTTTTTTTTTTTTTTTTTACTTTGACTAAATCTTTTCTAACTGATTCTTGGCATCCACTGCCAGCTATAGATGTGTATAATTTGAATATTGTTGCTGATTGACATGAAGAGATGTAATCTATACCACTAATGTCCATCCTGTATTTGGCAGGATCCTTTTTCAAAATGTGGTCATCCTAAGGTCGCTGACCAACATTAAAGTAAAGGTGCAATAGGATCTGATGCGGGATCCCAAGTCATGCTTTCTACCATGTCACATGTACATGGCAGGACACACAGTTGTGGGATCCTGCATCTAATCCCATTGTATCATATTGCTGGTAAATGGGAAACCCAATCCCTGGCTCCCCCTGCACCAACAAGCAACAAGCTTGGTTCTCAACTTGGGAAGTGTACCATATGCTCCTGCAGCTGGGATTCCTGAGAGCTGATTAGAGTTCCAGCCTCCAGAGGGCATGGTGCACTCCCTTGCCTGGGGACTTCAATTAGCTGACATGGCTCCCAGCCTGTAGAGCACATAGGAGTCTTGAAAAGCTCCTGTGTGCTGCAGAGGCTTGGCACTGGTGGTATAGAGTCAGAGTCAGTGGACTGGAAGGGACCTGTAAGATCATCAAGTCCTGTCCCCTGCCATAGGCAGAAGGTTAATGAGCTCAAATGAGCTCAACTAGATGCTTATCCAGCCTCCTCTTGAACACCTCCAAGGATGTTGACTCCCACCTCTGCTGGGAGTGTTCCAGGTTCTAGTTACTCTTATGGAGAAGAAGTTCTTCCTTGTGTCCAGCCTAAATCTTCCCTCTGTTAGTTTGTGACCACTGGTCCTCATCATCCCAAGGGGTGCCTTCCAGAAGGGCTGCTCTCCCAGATCCTGTTGTTCTCCGCTGCCATATTTGTAGGCGGCTATCAAGTCACCTTGCAGCCTCCTCTTACCCAGACTGAACAAGACCAGCTCCTGGAGTCTCTCCTCATAGGGCCTATCCTCCAGGCCCCTAATCACACGAGTGGCCCTCCTCTGCACCCTCTCAAGTTTATTCACATCCTTCTTGAGGTGTGGCGCCCAAAACTGGGCACAGTACTCCAGTTGCAGGCTCACTAATGGTGAGTCGAGAGGGAGAAGCACCTCCTTGGATCTGTTGGCAACACATCGGCTGATGCACACCAGAGTTCTATTTGCCCTCCTGGCAACTTCCTTGCCCTGTTGGCTCATTTTCATTTTCTGGTCAATTGTGAACCTCAGGTCCTGTTCAGATGCCATGCCATCCAATGGGCTACCACCTATCCTATAGGTGGGGTGAAGGTTCTTTCTACCCAGGTGAAGGACCCAGTACTTTTTCTTGATGAACCTCATCTGATCAGCCCATAGAATCAGTCTGTCAAGGTCGTCCTGGATCTTTACCCTGTCTTCTGGTGTGCCCACATTTCCCCACAGCTTGGTATCATCGGCAAACTTAATCATAGAGCATTCCACCCCGTCATCCAAGTCGCTAATTAATATGTTAGAAAGCACAGGTCCAAGCATCGATCCCTGTGGGACACCACTGGAGATGGTCCTCTAGGATGAGGCCATCCCATCAATTACAACTCTCTGGTACCGGCCTTTAAGCCAGTTATCCACCTACCTCACTGTAGGCTGGTCCACGCCAGTTCCCTTCAGTTTGTTTCCCATGAAACTCTCTCAACCAAAATCAAAGGCCTTACTGAAATGTAAGTAAATGATGCCTACCTCATCACCCTTGTCCAGCTGGTTAGTTACCTGGTTGTAAAAGGACACCAGGTTTGTCAGGCATGATCTTCACTCCACAAAGCCGTGCTGGTTGTTTTTTAATATGCTGTCAGTTACAAGCTTGTGATTGATGGCCTCTTTAACAATTTTTTCAAAAGTGTTTTTCTGAAGTCAAACTGACCAGTCTGTAGTTTTGCAGGGTCATCTGTCCTCCTTTTCTTAAAGATGGGCACCCGTTGGCTGTCTTCCAGACATCTGGGATCACCCCTGAGTTCCATGACTTTTCGAAAATCTTTGCCAAGGGCCCTGCTACAAGTTCAGTCAGTTCTTTCAGGACTCTTGGTTGTAGGTCATCTGGCCCAGCAGACTTGAAAATGTCCACTTGTTCTAAGAGGACCCTCTCCTGTTCAGGATTGATTTCATGTTGTCTATAGGCTTCCCCGTGTTGTTTGGGCTTCTGGATGGGTGCACAGCTTCTGTTAGCCTTCTGGAATACCAATGTGAAGTATTCATTTAGGAGCTCAGACTTTTTGTGAGGGTCAACTGTGGGCTGTCCCTCCATATCCAGTAGGGGTTCCACAGTGAAGGACTTTTTGTTGTCTCTTTATTTCAGATGCCAGCTAGATCTCCATGCCTGCCTTGGCTTTCCATATCATACTTGCAGACCCTGGTTATATAAATAAACTGTTCTCTGGTTGCTGAACCTTCTTTCCATTGATTATATGCATCTTTTATTGTTCAAAAGTTCTCTAATGTCCCTGTTGAGCCAGGTGGGTCTCTTGGCTCCTTTCCTGTTCTTTGATCACGTGGGAATGGCCTCTTTTTGGGCAGTGAGAATTGCTCCCTTGAAGAGGCACCATTGTTCCTGAATTCCCAAATCATTCAGTCATGGGTCACAGAGGAACTTTCTAACTAGCCTCCTGAGTTTCTTGAAGTCTGCCCTTCTGAAATCTAGGACTTCTGTTCTACTAATTAGGATCCTAGCCTTCCGGTGAATGGTGAACCTAATTGGATCATGATCACTGTCACCCAGAGTACCTCCAATCTTCAGGTCCCCTACCATTTCCTCCTCTTTGGTAAGCACTAAGTCCAGATTGGCTTTACCCCTAGTTCTTCGGCAACCTGTGACAGGAACAGGTATCAGTAGCTGCCAAGAAACTGGCTGACTTGCTGGAGCTGGCCGAATGGTCCTCCCAACAGATATCAGGGTAGTTGAAGTCACCCATGACAATCAGGTCTTTAGTTCTGGCTACCTCAGTCAATTCCCTGGATAATGCCTGATCACTCTCTTCTTCTTGGGAGGGAGGTCTGTAGTAGATGCCCCACCATCAGGTCTTCCTCTCCTGAGCCTCCTTGTATCTTGACTCAGAAGGTCTTGAGGGACCTCTCCCTGCTATCAAAGCTGACCTGCAGGTAGGGGTATATTCAGTTAAAGGCATGATAGGAACCAGCCACAAAGTTATTGCATGTATTACTCAAAATATGTGCAATAACTTTGTGACTTATTGCTTGTTTTATCATACCATTAATTGAATGAATGCAAGACCAAGTCACTACTTAAAATGTGATTAACCCTTTAATTGCATCTTAAGTGTAACATCTGTCAGGGACCTAATCGTGCTACAAATGTTAAAACTGCATTTGTACACATAAGTAAAGGTAATGCTCTAGGCTAGCATTTCTCAACCCGTGGGTCACAAGATTATATGAAAGGGTCATGAACAACCTTTAAAAATGGATTCTCCTTCTAAAGGAGGAAAACATGGGAAATCATGGCTTTTCGCTACCCTCTACCCCACACACTGAGGGGCTGGGAGGCAGTGGGTCCGGACTGACCATTGATGTTTACAAATGGTTCCTGGTCCAAAAAAGTTTGAGAACCACTACTATAGGCACAGGAATGACATGTAGTTTTACATGTATCCCATTCATAGAAACATGAATATTTTTATATATAATAGGTGAATCTATAGATCTGGTGAGTATATTTCAGGTGATCTTCAAACATTTAAATCTCCAGGTTTCCTGCTTTTTCTCTGTTTTGACTTTTCAAATTGATTTTAAATGAATTTTCTCTTCAAAAAAAGACAGATACTTTCAGGGTTTTTTTTGTTTAAAGCAGTTTTAAAAACAAAAACACTAACTTGATAGATCATAATGGCTGATTTGTCACTATTTGACAACCATGTTATATTAACGTAGTTAATTATAAATCACACTTTGGTCTGTACTTTCTTACCCACTACTGTAACAAGTAACATCATGATTATTACAACTCAAGAATTTCATCTTTGAAAAGTATGATTGGTTTGTTCATTCTCTGAATGTAGCGTTGTCAAATACAGAGTAAACTTGATGATTTCCCATTATAACCAGTTACTGTTTTATTACTTTGGTGTAACTTTCATGCAGAAAGGCAGGGGGAGAATGGGATATAGTGTAAAATCAAAATGAGCTATTTTTTAAGTTGGAACCTCCTTTTGATAAGTTTATTAGCATTTGTAATGTTTGTTCATACACTGGTTATGTTAATGAGGTTATTAAGGCTTAGAAATGTTACTTCAAAATGCAGTTGTTAGCTTTTAGAATTTAATATTCGGTTCTTGAATACAAAGAACTAAAGAGCAGATTTGCAAACTGAAACAAAAGCTGAATGCTGAATATTGAATATGTATTTTTAAAAGATTGTGAAAAATGTATTTCCAGGCATAAACCTGATATGCTAGATTTCAGCATTATTTCTGCTTTTAGTATCTAGTGCTCGTACAGGGTCTCTCATTAGCTATCAGTGCTTTACAAAGTCACATTATCCTAATTTGACAAGAAGCTGAGGCACTGAGAGAGAGGAAGTGACTTGTCCAAAGTCACTGGGCATGTGACAAAACTGACAATGAAAACCTTATGTCCTGAGTCCCAGTCCAGTGTCCATTTCACAAGGCCACATTACTTCCTTAGTTTGCTAGAGTTCTGCTTTAACCTCTGTGCAGAAATGGTGCTAATCATGAGTTAGGTGTAATTCATCAGAGTATAAAGGACTTGAGCACCATACTTATGCACCATTTAAATTCAGCTTAAAGACTTAAAATTGGCAACTAAGTTTTCCATAGACTGTATTTAGCTCATTTGTATTTTACTCTGTTTGGCATCCTGTAAGTTCATATCATAATATAAAATGCTGCAAACTTGCACTTGTTTAATGTTGCGCATATGAGCAGTCCTTAAAAGTCAGTGAATTGATCATGTACGTGAATTGAGCTTCTGATCTTAAATTAAGAGTTAGGCTAACAAACAATTTATTTGTGAGTCCTCATAGAATGGCTGTAAAATCAGTCCCTGATCCTCTTACTTGTACATATTAACTGAGCATAATATTTTTCAAAAAGATAGTGGGTAATTTTTTGCATGCCAAACAGTTATGGATCAGGAATCAAAATTCCTTTAATTCATGATTATTCGTTTTAATACAGAATTAAGACCTTGGGATTTAGCATAGGTTTTTAATGCCTTATTTTATTACTTTGCAGGACATATCAATCTCTGAGCTTTCTTTTCCCACAGGGAGGAAAGTAAAATATGCAAATTTTCCTCAAAGGAAAATATATATACCCACTGTGTTTCAGTCTCATGCTCATTACAAACAGATCTTTACAGCTGCTTTGACAGGTACGGTTAATAATTTATTCAGAAATTACTATAAGCTGTCAGTAGGTTTTGATATTTTAATATTTTTCTGAAGTTTTACAAAATAAAGACACAGTGGTGGAATGTTATGTGGTAGAGCAATAACTTCTGTTTGGTTTGTATGCATCTTAGTTATTTGAACCCAAGGCTGGCTAAAACTGATTGCTGTTTAGACTGATCTGAATTGTTTAAAAAGAGCCTGAATGTGAAATTCACCTCTATGCAATTACTTGGAACCTACCTAAATTGGGGTGTGATTAAGGGTTTTTTGCAGCCCGCTTGCACAGCCACTTTTAAAGGCATTTTGTGGTGGCCCTGCCCCTCGAAACTAATTGGTGGACAGGGCTGCCTTTTGTGTGATCCCACCCCTTTCCACTGATTGGTAGAGGCACCCCAGTGGGGGAGGAGGGCAAATGCCAGTTTTTGCAGCAATCACAATAACTACCACTTCTTGTGGTTTCTGCAAAAGTTGTGAAAGCACGATTTAAGTTGGTCCCCAGCAGGTACCTAGCCCGCAGCCTGTGTCACACTTTTTTTTACATCTACTGTAATTATCAGTATTTGCAACTCTGGTTTTTAATGTGCAGGTACTTTAAGTGGGGGTTTTTGTGGAAATAAGGCAGTTGAAACTCATGAGCGTGCATACGCAAGTTATGAATTTTGCATCTTGAAGATATTTAGTCACTTTCAGAGGCTAGGTCCAAATGCCTTGGAAAAACTGGCACTATTGATTTAGAAGCAAAAGTAACCATGAAGCACATGTTTGCTTAACTGTTATACGTAAGTATTTTAAGGTAATCCTAAATTCTCTCTCTTTTCATATGGAGAACACTTAAACATACTGCTTTTTGAGCTGTCAGAAAGGCTACATAAGGCTCTTTTGAAAGTGGACATATCATTTTACACTTCGGTGGAAGATGGCCAAGGGGAAAGTGAAGAAAACTGTGTTCCTCTCTGCAATCACAAGCAACCTGCAAAGCTTGTTATGGTTAAAAAAGAAGGTAAAAATAAGGTACTGTTTGCTGCTTGTTTATTTAAAATTTTGGTGATTTATTCACATGATGCTTGGATTATATTCAGTGAACAGTTACAGGATGGTCCTGTGTATTTTACAATTATATAAGCTGCTAGTAATTATATACAGCTATATAATTTCTAATCTGATAGCAGCGTTAATACCTGATATTAATTTGATATTCTGAGAGATCTTTTCCGTCTATGAACATCTGTGTGTGTAATATATAATATTTATACAGGTTTCCCTCACTTTATGCAGGTTCTGTATGTGAGAATTCACGTGATGATCCTTTTTATACCAAATTTGTTATTTGCAAGGTAAATTCACTCTTTTATGTAATCAGTTTGGAGGAAGCCCACAGTCAGTTGCTTTGTGCAGTGCGTTGTGGCAGTGACACGCACCAAACTGTAGTCTTCTGTGTGCCTCGCTCGTTGTCTGTGACACACATTTCTATTGTTGCCAAAAGTGGTGGAAATGGGTCTGGGGAGTCAGTACAGTCAAGGTCTTGGAACGTATCCCTGTTCGTTACATTGTAAAGTGGGTTCCTTTTATGTGAATTCGAGTTATGCACCATTTTCCAGGAATGCTTGTACCCCATAAAGCAAGGGAAACTTGTATATTATATTCGTATGTATGTAAATTGAGATTGCATATCTAAATTTCTTTTTGAATACTATGATAGTTGATTAGCAGTCAGGATGCAGTTATAAAAATGAACTGATTTTCTGCAGCTTCTTGGTTTTCCAGCAGACTCATGGACATTCATAAAAACAGATTTATTCTCTTATTATTTACATAGTGTCTAAGTAGGGCTAGCTTCCTTGCATTGGCACTTATTTAAATAAGTTTTGATGGCTTCTTTCTGTTCTAGGGTCGTCTTTTTTATACCTGTGATGCCCCAAAAGCTGACCAGTGTAAATTTTTCAAGTGGGTAGAAGAAGTTAACCCAGGACAAAAAAATTCCAGACCCAATGTAGTGTTTCATGATATAAAAAGTATTGGAGCTTACCTCAGAAGTCAGAGGATTTTCCTCTATGAGGAATGCCAGCTTTTGGTGAGGTATATTGAAAATATGTCCAACTCATAATGTCATATGATATATAATATTTCTAAATGTCCAGCTGCAAATTTGCTGCTGTAACTCCATACACTTCAGTGAAATAGTACCATAAAAGAATTTGGAACTCCATTCAGTCTGTGTTAATGGTTTTGTGTAGCAGTTTAAAAGTGAGCTGTCTGACAGATTAGTTACAGTGGTGGTATTTCAGGTACTGTTTTCTTATGATAGTGGAAGAAAAAAAGCTCAGATCACAGGCACCAGGTACTCTATGTAATGTTGTCTTAATTAAATCCCTTCTGATTGTCCTGCTTTCACTACTAGTCATTGCTTAATATTTTTCAGAATACTTTTTGACCAGAGTTTGACAAATCCACTTGGCAATGCCGAGTTAGAAATGTTCTGTGGAAAGCACACTAGCTGGGCATTTTCTCCAGAAATTAAATTTCCATCCCTCTAAGAACTCTTACAGTTTAAGAGCTCTTTAACTGTCTGAATGTGATCATGAATTTTTCAAACAGACAATGTGAAGTGAACTGCCTTACGTCCAAATCTTAATCCTGGCATTTCTGTTACGATAGAGAAAGTAAAATTTTACTACCCTTTAAAATGTTATATGTAACAGCCCTACTCCAAGTGTTGTCTCCATTAAAATGGAATATTCTACCAGCCAAAAAACTTCTATAGCCTCTTCATCAGTAAAGAATTGGCAGCAGTGATTAGGTGACTGATAGTTGCATATTTTTACCTTCAAATCACTATTTTAATTGGGATGTAAGTTAGCCGTGATTAAAACCTCTTACCATATGAAACTCTTCCTTTAGGGGAGAATGGGGAATTTTCTTTAACAAGGGACAGGGAGTTGTTAAGCCATCAATTTCTGCAGAATTTAAGTTTTAACTTAACAAAAAATAGTCCTCGCGGTTTTGAATGGAACCTTTCAACTATGAACTTTAAATCTAAAATGGTCTGATAGCATTTTCTGACATCCTCTTTTTGTTCTTTCCTTGAAACCCTTCAGAACCCAACAGGCAGTTATCAAAGATCATATCAGTTATAAGATGCTACTGAAATCTATAGGTAGCAGCACAGATGATTACTGATTATGTTCATGATTTCTGTGTAGTTAAAATATTGAGATTCTTATAGGGAGTTGTAAAATTAGTAGGGATAATCTGTAAACAGTTTTATGAAAAATATTTTTCTGTTTTTATAGAAACTGCAAAATTTAATTAAACTTTCTGAGCATCTTTAAAAATTAGGTGCAGTACATCATCTGTAGCTTCCTATTGAAACTGGATAGTAGAAAAGAAACAAATTTAATCTTAAATATTTGCATTTTCAACGTTTTAACTTTTTCATATTCAGCAGCAATATTAGTAGCAGAGAGGAGGATTTTATAGCACTTACACCAATTGCTAAATTGAGGGAGGAAGAGGAGCAATCTGAGGCTGGCTAAATATCAACAAAATATTTAGTTTAAATGCATTTGTTTATAAATAGTGCTTGTCAGGGAAAAGTCTGCAAGAACATTAACACATTTAAAATGTTTTGGTATTCCTCATAAGTGTTGGATCCTTATTTCTGTGGTGAATCAGAATTCTGCCTTTCTGTTTTGTTTTGCTTAAATGTTGATTCTTGACCTTTTTTTAACAGAAAAGCCTTTGATGTTCAAAGAAAACAGTTTAGTAAGCTAAAGAAATTTATGATTTTACATGCTAGAGTTGATGGTGATTCTAAAAACAAAATATATCTTAAACTGAGAAGAAAGGAGCACTCTTCCATGTACAGCAAAGGTAAGTAAATCTGAGCATCTCACTGGTAAGTTTAGAATTGACCTTGAAATCCCCCTGAACCAGCCAGTGCTATATGAGCTTCTCATTTAGTCTGAACCAAAGCTGTCCCCATTGTGCTCTTTATTTCTTGAGCATGGCACTGAGATGTATCCCAGGTTCCTTAGGAGGCCATTTTAGGAATTGGTGTGTGGATTACTTGTCTCCTAAGACAGATAAGGTTTTTTGGGTAAATGCAATATCTTTTATTAGACCAACTAAATAGTTGGAAAACTTGTCCTTTGCAAGCTTTCAGGCAAAAACAACCTTTTTCAGGCATAGGGAGAGTCTTCTGGTGTTTTGTGTTCTCCTGGATGGAATAGAAACCAATATGCAAAGCACTGGTCTGAAAATGCAAATGCATTTTGCATTTTTTTGCAGCGAGGATGATTGGCAATGGGAAACTATTGGTGTGAGACAGGTAGGTGTGTGGCAGAGGGAAGGGAGAAATGTTGACCTGGTGATAGAATGTGGCTGGTAAAATGTAGAGAGGTTACCCGGGGATATCGAATGGCAGGCAGGTTATAATGTGCCATAAATCCAATGTCTATATATAGTCTGTGATTTATTTATTTATTTATTTATTTTTTGTATCCAATAGATTTATGAGTGAAGTTCATAGGCTTGTCTATGAAAGGTGTTTTGTAAATTCCCTTTGAAGATTAGAACGGAGAGATTGGAGAGAGAGAGAGTGGTTGTTTTAGGTTGTCTCCTAAGAGCAGCTGAGAGAGAGAAAGCGGGATGCAAGAAACATTAGATACCAGGAACAGGGAATTTGGGTATTGCCCTTGGTGGACTTTCTGTCTCAAGACCTGCATGCTTGGGTAAGCCCCTAACTCTGCATGAAAGAGATCGCCAGGAGGTGAAGGGTGGACAGTGTGACTTCATACCTAGGGAATCCTGGATTCTAGTCCCTGCTGTCTGCCATTGTTCATGCATTTTATATAATCATCATTTGGAAAAAAGAAAACCTGGAATAAATCTGAACCCAGGACTCCATGGTAGGAAGGCCTCCAAGTGAGCAGAGGGATTTATGGATTGCCATTTTAGACTAGCGTACCATCAGCTGAAGTCCTCTTTTAAGCATTTGTGATCTTTTTAGTGCTTTAGCAAAATAGTAGTTAAGTATAATTTCTTTATGGTTTTGTGGTTGGCAATGAGAACTGCTCCTTTTAATAATTCATCTGAACTCCAAATAGCCTGAAAATCATTAAAACTTTAGATGAGTCATAAGTCACTAAATACTAAAGCCACAGGGAAGAAACTTTAGCACATTAGTTCTGTACTTGATGTTATTTGTGGTAGCTCTAATGGAATTATTTGGTTACTCCCTTTTAAATGACTATACTAACGAATCTTTTAAAGCTTTGTAATTATCCCTTTTATTTTAATTGGTACTTATATTTTTTGTTCTAAAGGTTTAATTTGCAAAATAATAAACACTGATTATTATTTTCAAATCTACAGTAGCAGAAGTGTAAAAAAATGAAATTAATGGGTGTATTATTGTGACAGATGATCTTTGGGTTGTTTCAAAGACACTCAACTTTGAACCACTGGAAACTTTCATTGCATGCAGTGCTTTCTTTGGACCATCAGCTAACAATGAAGTTGAATTATTGCCTCTGAAAGGCTTCTGTCCCTCAAACTGGCACTCCAACAGTAAGTTTTTTGCTTAAAGATATTTTGTATATAAATATTATTTTTGATAAATGTGTGAGCAGTGACATAGCACAAACTGGCCATTTCTCAAGCCTCAAATGTCAGTTTACTATGAGTATGTCGTATTTATAAAGCTCTGAGAATTTCCTTCGTCCAAAGATCTTAAAGTGCAAAATATTTTTTGATCAACTATTTAAAGCAGGGGTTGTTGATCAGGGGTACTTTGAAAGGTCCAAGGGGGCACGTGGGGACAGAGCACCGCCACCCCGTGTTGCTGCCTCACAGGAGCAGAGCTGGGGCAAGGCGAGAGCAAGGCCACACACACACTGCGCTGCCACCACTCTGCCACTTGCCATGCTCCCGCTCCATGTCTGGCCACTCCCTGCCACCCCTGTTCCCAGGGTACACTTACTGAAAAGGGGGCTGCTGGGGGTACACTTATTAAATAAGGTTGAAAACCCCTGATTTTAAACAATAGTAGCCTATTTATAATTCCCTGCTGGCCAGGTTATGAGTAGGTGAAGAAGTCCTATAATACCCCCAAATTCTGCAAAATGATAGTCACCATATCAAAGAGTATGTCCTCAATGTTTTTAAAAATTGGCTACGTACAAGACCTTGTACATAATAAAGATAAGTCTGTGGCTGGGCTGATATCCTTTGACTGTATTATGTTGCCAGAGCCCAGTAAAATTAAAGGATCAGTGAGTTTGGAATGTTCAGAAGAACAAAGCTGCATAAATTTTACTTAATAAACCTTATTGCTGTTGAGTTGCTTTTAATCAGCGAGTTTCTGAATGTAAACATTGTTGATTCAAAATTGATAAGTCTTTAATGAATCAGTGTGTCCTATTTATTATTTAATAAATAGTTCAAAAGTAAATGACATTGTCTTCCTCCTCATTTGGATTAGTCCAGAGGCCTTTTAGTTTCACTTAGTTATTTTTATTGCATTTTGCTGTTGGCATATGTGTTATTCCTTAGAAGGAGAGGGAACCAGGTATAGAGAAGACGCTACAGGGGAGAGCTACAGAAAACCCAAGAAACTGACAAATACAGGGGCGGGGAAAAGCTTAGGCTAAGATTTGTGTTTTGTTAATGTTGTTTGAATTGCAGTAAAGCCATGGAAGGGAATAAAGCAGTACTATCTGTTGTGTGGTTGTGCACTTCTTGGAAAAGGGCAAAAATGTACACCTGCTTTGTAAACTCAGTGTAACATTAAAATTGTACTCTTCAGTGCAAACATTGGAAAATTCAAAAGTTAGTTTTAACAGACTGAAGAGTCATTAAAAATACCACAATGCATATGTGCAGCATGGGCATACTAACATGCCTTTCAGAACCAGGGCCCCAAATTCAATGGGAGTTTTGTCTGGAGGAAGAAGTGTAGGACTGAGCCCTTAACGCTTCCTAAGCCACGGATTATTTTTGTCTGGTTTTGCAGTTTTATTGTTGGATTAGCATAGGATTTGTTTTAGGGGTGCACCGATAAAGATTTTCTTGGCTGACACCATTAGCCAATTACCAATCAGCCGTATTGGCTCATACTGATCCAATAGCCAATTTACAGGAATGCAGCCAGTCAGCGTGGAGAGCAGTACCCTGCAAGTTAATCTGTGTGGGGCAAGAGGAGGGAGGGAAGGAGGGAAGGGGCATGGGGTTGCAGATGGAGGGAGGGACTGGAGCAGGGACAGGGGCAGACGCTGCCCAGCTCAGGAGGTAAATGGGACCCTGAGGCAGGTTGAAGGACCGAGCCACAGGCGGCTTGTCCAGGTGGTGTGGGGGGAGCCTGAGGATGGGGGAGACGGGGTGGCTCCCCACTGCTACACACATTTCCAGGGAGGCATGGGGGACATATTCCTCCTCGGATATGTGTATAGGGCAGAGGCAGGCTGCCTGCTTTGGGCAGGGGCCAGGGGCTGTGCCAGCCTCTTCCCAGTGTGGGGGGTGGGAGCAGGGCAGGCTCAACTGTTCAGGGTGGGCAGCAGCGGTGGCACAGGGATGAGTGGCTATGGGGGGGGGCTAAGGTGAATTTTGGGGTGGTTGTAGCCCTCCAAGCCCCCCCCCCCCCCCCCCGGCGCCCCCCTTCGCGCGCGCCCC